ATAGCTTAAGGGTGCAAATTTAAGCAGACACGCACAGACTGGCTGTCTTGTTCCGCCAGCCACTGGCTCCCGATCCTCGTATCAGATGGTTGACCGGCTCGCGCAGTGCCTGGAGAATGGAATACGAACCAGGGGTGTCTCGTGGGCTCTGTGGTTGACAAGCGATTGGATACCTTGACGGAAGCATTAATCTGGCCACTCCACTACGGCTGCGTCTGAAGTCCAAGTCTCGTCTGCTACCCTATGTAGCAGCCTCGAGTGCAGTGTCTACGTCATCTTAACCATTCCCATTGGCTGGGTAGAAGCAGACTGGGTCTATGTACCACCTAGGTTCGAATTGAGATACGGTTTTTGGACTGGGGTCGATCAAGTCATGGCGTGCGTCCAAGTGTATCTCCAGTCGTCTTGGTATAGCGGTTGACACAAGCCGGTCTTGTGAGCGCAGACGTACCACGTACCGAAGACACTAGAGTGAGCAGCTCGAATGTGCAGAGAACCCTGATTTAGTGTCTCAGACAGCAATGGTCGCCAGACAGACTAGTCCGCGCGGTGTCGAGTCATGCCTGGGAGAGAGAGAGAGAGATGGAGAATGAAACAGTGATGTCAGCTGCTTGTAGGGGCTCGTAGGAGCAGGTCCAAGTGTTTCTGTTCGAGTGGTGGGGCATGGAAGCCGCAGCTGTCTGAACGCCTACGCTCCGGACGTTACTGTCGGCTAGACTGTAATGTCAGCGAGTGTGGAACCGCTGGTTACGGAAGTGAACGACCATGACGCAGTAGGGATTTGAACAAGTGCGCTAGGCACTGTACTTGTGGCTGTCCGCTACAGTCGCTCTAGTTCAGGTGCCAACTTGCCTTTCATTCAATTTGCATGGGATTCAGTACTCTTTCTTCCTCTCTTCTCCTCTTCCTGCTCAGCACCTTCCCTGAAGGTCACAATTATTGGTAACAATCGGGAGATGGCACCCAAAAAAATCCTTCACCTAGAAATAATACCTTTAACAGTGGACTCAAACGTCTTTAGGCTATATCAGCGGTTGCAGGCCTACTTTCACGCACTACTTCGACTTCTTTCGACGGCCTAACATGGGCTGGCCGAACGAACATCGCAGGAGGTTACATGGACGATGGTCGCTGTTACCCAATCTTCCCCATCCTTACGCACGCACACCTGAATATACGGCATACATTCGCATTATGGCGGCTTATTACAAAACAAAATCACTTTTAAATAGGATAAGTCTGCACAACATGGGACAGAAATAGTTCCCAGGCGTCTGTCAAAGACTTGGCATTGAGGCCAAACAAAAGACGATACTGTACTTCGTCTATGTGAGCCCACACAGCTGGACCACATACAGGGCCTCCCTAGTGAAGTTTCCTTTTCAGTCTACTCCAGTATGCCTCAATGGCATTGGTGTGCCGTCCGGTGGTAGGGTCCTTGAAGTTCTTTGAGTGGTTAACAGGGAAATGCAGATAACCTTCTGAGGGAGGACGATTATACGCCTTCCACTCGTCCGTTACCACTATACTGCCTTTGGCGGCCCATTTTGTAATAACGGAACGGAGAGCGGGCCAACTTAGAATAAGGCTTTCCGTCGGCTAGTATCGTACATCCCGACCAGCCACCACCCATAAAACCCCTATTACCACCTGTTCCGTAAGACAGGCTGCTTTGGTTAGGCGGATTTTTTTGGGTGCCATCTCCCGATTGTTACCCAATTGTTAGACTTTAACTGCCACGGCATGCCTCCGCTTCTGCTGGCCATCATGTGCTCCCAAATGGGTTTCGAGACTGTTTCTCTGGACGAAAAAGAGGGCAACACTGCCCTGGACCCGATATGCGTCGTCGGGCTGTATTAAGTTTGTTTGAGGCCTCAACACTAGCAGTTACTCTGTGTGTGTATATGTATGTGTGTGTCCCCCAGACGGGCTAAATGGTAGATGCTCTGGAGCCATACTGGACTCTGGCAGGCGTTGTTGGAGCTGCGCACCATAAAAAATGCCAACAGTTCTGGGGTGCAGTGGCGGACCCGGTTTTCGGCGTACGCTCTGCACACTGGGACTCTGCTACCCCCCGTCTCCCATTGTTGTTGTAAATCAAAAACCTGGTTATTTGTTGTGTGGACCAGAGGGTGTGGAGTGGAGCGCCAAGGTGCGGGCTCGACCGTAGCATTCACCTGCGCCTCCTTCGTCTCCGGTCTTCTTGACTCTGTCTTGACATCGACTCCAGGCAGGGGAGGAGAAGAGAGTGCGGTAGATGCTGTGCAAGTCCACTATCACTATAAACTAACGCACAAGTCACCGTCCCTGCTTCCACCCTGCTGCGGGGTATACGGTGGACATCGTCGGACGCGACGGCCGAACTGTCGTGTGTGTGTGTGTGTGTGTATGTGTGTGTGTGTGTGGGGTGTAGGGGTGTCAGCGGTGGGTCCACGTGATGGTCGTAGTGGTCGCTCACCTGCTTGCAGGTGAGACTACGCCTAGCGTCCATTTGCTGGCACCTAACTCTCACCTGTGGCTCCACGTAGCTGGGCCCTGCTCAGCGGCCACACCCCGGGCAACCGTCTCGACCGGCGGGCTAAACCAGGTGAGGGTATCCGTGCGTGCACCTGCACGCGCGGTACTGCGGTCTGCGCTGGCCGGATGGATCTTCGCGTCGACATCGTCGAGACGAGGCTCTGCCTGGACCATCGTAGGCGGCCACGAGGTAAGTTTCCCCTCAGGTAGGTGCGCTTGCTTTGTTTCTTCCTTTTGTTTGTTGAAGTTCCGCGTCGTACGCTGCGCTTGCTGCCTGCCCTTTATATGCTAGTCTGTCTGTTAATAGCTAAACGACACCCACGATTCCTGCTGCGATTGTCTGTCCGTCAGTCTATGCCACTGTCTTCTAGCTAGGTGTTACGGTGCTTGAGTTCGTGTGGTGCCCTCACTTTGTCTCTGACTGATGACTGTGTCCGCTTGTCCACTCTAGTTCTAAGTCCCCTAGCGTTAGTTAGTGTGTATGCTCTCTCCTACTTCACTCCATCACATCATCACCTCACCACCAAGGTCCCAGGCTAATTCGGGTCGTTCTCTCACTAACAAAAAGTCGTGGCCCATAGTGAAGTCCGGCAGCCGTCTGGGATAACCGGGCAGCCCTGTTCAGGGATGCGTTGCCTGCCCCCGCGAGGGGGAGGGGGCTAGAAAAGGTGCCCCAAAGATCGCTGGGAACCACGCTGTCTGTAGGCTGGCCGTGGCCGCAGACAAAAAACACACGGTCGAAACAGCCAAAACCGAAACAACAACAACAACAACAATCACTCTCTTTCTCTTCCAGCCTATTCTTCTTCTTCGTCTCCTACTCCTACTTTTCGCCGCCGCAGTCGCCAGACTGGCGGGGTGAGCCCGCTCACTCTGGCAGCCTGGAATGTTCGTTCCCTTTTAGACAATCCGAGGAGCAACCGACCGGAACGGAGGACGGCGCTAGTGGCACGAGAACTGGCGCGCTACAAGGTGGACATCGCCGCACTCAGCGAGACCCGATTCTCCGAACAAGGCCAACTGGAGGAGGTGGGTGCCGGCTACACCTTCTTCTGGAGTGGTCGACCCAGGGCAGAGCGACGAGACGCGGGCGTCGCCTTCGCCATCCGGACCGACATCGTGGGACGACTGCCCTGTCTGCCGCAGGGAATCAACGACCGCCTGGTGAGCCTCCGCCTGCCCCTCCGGCGAGGAGGCAAGTTCGCCACCATCATCAGCGCCTACGCTCCGCCGATGACCAGTTCCGACGCCGTCAGAGACAAATTCTACGAGGACCTGCACGCCCTCTTGGCGACTGTGTCGAAGGCGGACAAGTTGATTGTCCTTGGTGACTTCAACGCCCGCGTCGGCACAGACCATACTGCCTGGAGGGGAGTGCTGGGTCCTCACGGTCTCCGCGGCTCCAACGACAACGGCCTGCTTCTCCTCCGCACCTGCGCAGAACACCGCCTCACCCTGACGAATACCTTCTTCTGCCTGCCGGAGCGAGAGAAGGCCACCTGGAGGCATCCTCGGTCGCGTCAGTGGTACCTGCTGGACTATGTCCTCGTCCGGAGGCGAGATCAGCGGGACGTGCTGGTGACGAAGGCGATCGCGGGTGCTGACGGGTGGACCGACCATCGCCTCGTCATCTCGAAGATGCGTATTCGCCTACAGCCTCGCAGGAGACCACAAGGTAAGCGACCCCCAGGTAAGCTGAATGTTGCTTTGTTGTCTTTGCCTGCTCACCGTCTCCATTTCAGCAATGAGCTAGCTCAACGGCTAGACAACCCTCCTATCGCTGTCGCCGCCGACGACGCCGCCGCCGCCGCTGCCGAGAACGCCTCCGTGGAGAACCGCTGGTGTCAGCTGCGAGACACGGTCCAGTCGACGGCTCTCGCCGTCCTCGGTCGCGCTCCCCGCCAACACCAGGACTGGTTCGACGACAATGACGCTGCCATCAGCAATCTGCTTGCCGAGAAGAACCGCCTACACAAAGCCTACGTAGATCACCCCACTGAGGACAACAAAGCTGCCTTCTACCGCAGTCGCCGACAGCTTCAGCAACGACTGCGCGAGATGCAGGACGCCTGGACTGCTCGCAAAGCTGAGGAGATCCAAGGCTATGCGGACCGCAACGAATGGAAGAACTTCTTCTCTGCGATCAAAGCTGTCTACGGTCCGCCGACGAAGGGCACTGCTCCTCTCCTCAGCGCCGACGGCAGCACTCTCCTGACTGAGAAGACGCAAATCCTGCAGCGATGGGCCGAGCACTTCCGAGGCGTCCTCAACCGCCCTTCCGTCATCTCCGACGCAGCCATCGCCCGCTTGCCGCAAGTGGCGACCAACGTGGACCTCGACCTCCCGCCATCTCTCCAGGAAACCATCAGGGCCGTGCAGCAGCTCTCCAGCGGGAAAGCACCCGGATCGGACGCCATCCCTGCTGAGGTCTACAAGCACGGAGGTCCCTTCTGATGAATCACCTGACTGCGCTCTTCCAGGAGATGTGGCGTCAAGGTGAAGTCCCGCAAGATTTCAAGGACGCAACTATCGTGCACCTTTACAAGCGCAAAGGGACTCGCCAAGTCTGCGACAACCACCGCGGCATCTCCCTACTGAACATCGCCGGGAAGATCTTCGCTCGCATCCTGCTCAACCGCCTCAATAACTATCTGGAACGGGGCCTTCTGCCGGAAAGTCAATGCGGCTTTCGTCGTCATCGTGGGACCACGGATATGATCTTCGCCGCCCGCCAACTTCAGGAGAAGTGCCAGGAGATGCGGACCCACCTGTACTCTACCTTCGTGGACCTGACGAAAGCCTTCGACACGGTGAATCGTGAAGGACTGTGAAAGATCATGCAGAAATTCGGCTGTCCGGAGCGATTCACTCAGATGGTGCGTCAGCTGCACGACGGTATGATGGCGCGCGTCACGGACAACGGAGCTGTCTCAGAGGCATTCGCAGTGACCAACGGAGTGAAGCAGGGCTGTGTGCTGGCGCCTACCCTCTTCAGTCTTATGTTCTCTGCCATGCTGATGGACGCCTACCGCTACGAACGCCCTGGAATCCGCATCGCCTATAGAACGGACGGTCATCTGCTGAATCATCGGCGCCTGAACTTCCAATCGCGGGTATCCACAGCCACCGTGCACGAACTCCTCTTCGCTGACGACTGCGCCCTGAACACCACCTCGGAAGAGGAGATGCAACGGAGCATGGACCTATTCGCCGCCGCCTGCGAGAACTTTGGGCTGGTCATTAACACGCAGAAGACGGTGGTCATGCACCAACCGCCGCCCAACTCACCCACAGCCCCCAACGCGCCGCCGTAAATCAGCGTGAACGGAACCCAACTGCAAGTGGTGGAGAACTTCCCGTATCTGGGCAGTACCCTCTCCCGCAACACCAAGATTGATGACGAAGTCGCCAACAGGATCTCGAAAGCCAGTCAAGCCTTCGGTCGTCTCCGTAGCACAGTTTGGAATCGCCACGGTCTCCAACTGAGCACGAAGCTGAAGATGTACAAGGCCGTCATCCTGCCGACGTTACTGTACGGAGCAGAGACCTGGACGGTATACACGAGACAGGCACGCCGCCAGAACCACTTCCACCTCAATTGTCTCCGCCGCATCCTGAGGCTGAACTGGCAGGATCGAATCCCCGACACGGAAGTACTGGAACGAACGGGAATCCCCAGCATCTACGCCATACTGAAACAAATGCAGCTGCGCTGGAGCGGCCACCTGGTGCGCATGGACGACGAGCGACTACCCAAACGACTCTTCTACGGAGACGTCGCGACGGGTTCTCGTCGTCAAGGAGGCCAAATTCGCCGTTACAAGGATACTCTGAAGTCCTCCCTGAAGCGCCTGCAAATGAACCCGACCAACTGGGAAGAGCTCGCTCGCGATCGTCCGACATGGAGGAGAACAGTGAAGACGGGCGCTGCTATCTTTGAAGCCAACCGAATCGCCGCCGCCAAAGCGAAACGCGAAGCCCACAAATCACAACTTCGCCCAGTCCGCAACGCCGCCGCACAACCACTCCCAACGTGTCCTCGATGTCAACGGACATTCCGGGCACGAAACGGACTTGTTGGACATCTCCGAACCAACTGCACCTCTCGAACTGCTCCGGCCATCGTCCCCCCGCCCGCCTCTTCCTCCTCCCTTCCGCCAACTAACTCTGACACTCCTTCTGCACCACCACTTCCATCCTCCTCCTTCTCCTCCACTGCCCCTGCGGTGGCCGTTCAGGCTGCCGTGTCACACATCGCCAACCACGACACAGTAACCGCAACCACCCCCACCCCTCCCAATTCCAGTGATGAGGATCAGGACTACACCTGCCCTCACTGCGACCGCACCTTCACCTCACACATCGGCCTGGTCGGTCACTTGCGAATCCATCGCACAGAGACTGGCGAACCAGTGCCTGGAGCACCAACCTACACCCACCGCACTCGCCTTCACTGCCCACACTGCCCTCGCACCTTCAGGCATCGCATGGGTCTATTCGGCCACATGCGCATCCACGAGAGCGGAATTGACCGCAGCCTTGACACACCCACCCCGCCGAGCCCCACTCCCAACCCACCGCCTAGTACACCCACTAACCACGCCCCAGCCGACATCTACGCCACCGACCTTACCACCCCTCACTCCTCCCCTTCCTCCTCCTCTCCCTCCATATCTGCCACAACGACGGCCGCTTCGGCGTCTGTCGCCCACGACCTCACCACAGCCGAACCTGACACAACAACAGGCACAACCCCTGCAACCTCCATTATTCGACGTGAGGGCCAGGGCTACATCTGCCCTCACTGCGACCGCACCTTCACTTCACGCATTGGCCTGGTCGGTCACTTGCGAATCCATCGCACAGAGACTGGCGAACCAGTGCCTGGAGCACCAACCTACACTCACCGCACTCGCCTCCACTGCCCACACTGCCCTCGCACCTTCACGCATCGCATGGGTCTATTCGGCCACATGCGCATCCACGAGAGCGGAATTGACCACAATTCCGACACAGCCACGACATCCAACACATCCACCACACCCAGACCCATCCTCGCTCCACCGTCACTCGCGCCGACCACCACCACCGCCACCACTGCTTCTTTTACAGCTGACACAGACACCGCCAACCTCTCATGCCCACATTGTCCACGCACCTTCACCTCACGCATCGGCCTGGTCGGTCACTTGCGAATCCATCGCACAGAGACTGGCGAACCAGTGCCTGGAGCACCAACCTACACCCACCGCACTCGCCTCCACTGCCCACACTGCCCTCGCACCTTCACGCATCGCATGGGTCTATTCGGCCACATGCGCATCCACGACGACCTGCGGTAGACAACCGCCGGTCACACCACACATTCCTCACTCCCTACCTCCTAACACCATCACCCCACCAGACATCAACCCTCACACACCTCATGCACTCAACTGCCGCCTCCCACGCAAGTGGGAAGTGTGCATCTCGACTCGGTCCCCATGCGGTTTCGGCTGCACGGGTGACCTGTGTCCGAGACTATCCCGACACGTCAATTGTCGTGGATAGGAAGGTTGCTGATTGAGGCCCGCTCTCGGTTCACGCAGTTCGTCACGTTGTGTGTGTGTGTGTGTTGTGTGGAGTGGCGGACTGGTGGGCTGGGGACGGGCTGCAACAGCACCTTCCACGGCACTCTCACGCAAGTGAGAGACACGCCGTTCAACCCCCGTTGTGTGAAATCCTGGTGTTTGTGTGTATGGGGGGCCAGGTCGTGCTGTGGCGCGCGCAGACATGGTCAGTCGACCATGTCAGCCACCGCGCCCATTCCCCACTCCAGTCTGCTGACCGGCTCGGACAGCGGCTGGGGTGTGGGAATGGGAAGGGAGAGTGAGGTCGACGACTCAGCGCATTTTCCTCACTATAATCAATCTGACGCGCTTGAAGCTATCACGGTGCGCTAAAAGCCGTGGCTTGGAAGGTTGCCAACTGACGGGGTACCTTGGACCTCCTCCTTAACGGGAGGCGATCTGAGAGTCAGGCTGCAATGGCTCCTTTTTAATGTGGCCTTTATGGCACTCCTACCACAGTGTGGGATCCGAGCCAGGCGTTGGCGGCACGCCCAGGTGCGGCTTCGGCCGTGCCAGCCTCCAAATCTCTGTTGTGTTGGTTGAAATCCTGGTTATTGTTGTGTGGACCAGGGGGTGTGGTGGAACGCCAAGGTGAGGATCCGTCCGAGCCATCCACCTGCGGCCTCCCTCGTCTCCGGTCTTCTTGACTCTGTCTTGACACCGGGCCCAGGCGGGGTAGGAGGAGAGAGTGTAGGTAGATGCTACGCAAGTCTACTGGCACTATAAACCCCTGCGTAAGTCACCGTCCCTGCTCCCACAATGCAGTCTGTGGGGCAGACGGTGGTCATCGTCGAAATCGACGGACGAACTGTCGTCGTGTGTGTGTGGCGCACGTTAGGCAGAGACTGACGTCCCATTGGCCGAACTCCATCTGCAGTCCGATTGGCTCGAACGGGCTTTGACACAAGGGACAGTGAAGCCTATTCCGAGCAATCCATTCTGACAGAAAATCATCACATTCTGTATTATAAAAAAATCCAATCCTTTTGGACTTATCATGACACGCTAACAATCCTGACTTGGAAAACTGCCTAGTGATTGAAAAATCGGTCCAGCTCAGGGCTGCGGGTCTGGCTGCAGTGGTTACTTTCAACACGACCTTTAGAACACTTTCTGGGCGAAATGTGATAACTCCTGAAGTTGGGGGCCAGGCAGTGTTACGTCTTGTCAGCTGCTGTCTCCAACCTTCAGTTTCAGTCGTCTGGACTGTGTCTTGTTATCAGAACGTGGTGGGGTTAGGAAGAGATAGAGATGCGGGGAAATTCCGTTTCATTGTACCCAAATTCAAGCTTAAGTCAAGGCCGGATCTCGTCACCTGTGCTGGTCGTGTGGTGGTCTGCTCTCGCGGTCGTTAGCGCGCCACTTACCGGTGCCGCTTCCAATCCACCTAGCTCTCCTCTCTTCGTCGATTGGCTGCAGCCGGACAAGGCTCCGGAGCATGCACTTCGCGACAGAGCTAACAACCTAAACACCCAGCATTTTGCTGGTGAGAGGACTTTCTGTCATTGCTGGCCGAGTTTCATGCACGCTTTTCCGCCACAGCGAAGTTTCTCCAATCAACTTTGCCTCCCTGAGTCGGTAGCCACGGCGAAGCACGACGGATGCTTGACAGGGTGATAGATAGTAGGGACAAAACTGAAAATAAAGTGGGTTCAAACCATACGGGAACTACAAAAAGATTTTTAAAGTGCATTAAGTACATAAACTCACCTCCAACACAAACCAATGCCGTATGAAATCGTGTTTCACAATAGTCCACAAGACCGCCCTGACCCGTTTGCGGTTCGTAAAACTGGCAGACCCAGCGTCCATCTTCTTTGTCCGACACCCCGTAGAGTACAACCGAAGTCTTTCGAGGCTTTGGATTAAATGGACACTCCTTGTTCTCTGGATGTTCAATCCACATGCACACCTTGTGTAAAAAATGCCTGTTTTTCATGACAGTCATGGGAAAACAGTAATTCATTACATGCTGGACAGGTCTTCAGATATTATCTCTCTACTAGAAAGTTCACTCCTGAAGGCCAGCGAAGTTTCCAACCATCGGACTTCTGCCATCAAGGCGGGCAGCTGTGTCATCCGGACAGTGTCGACTTCGTGAGCGGGTTTGACCCACCACAGGATGGAGTTCAATACCGCTTCTTCACTTGAAACGTTTAAGTCGTCGTCCCGTAGAAGACGCTGTAATAGTTCCCCTGGCAGCAGTCGAAAGACCGGATTTGAGACCACCTCCTCATAGGCTGACTTCATGAAGTAAATACAGGCCTCCTTGAGTGGCTGAATCCCAATACGATCGGCAAACTGCAACCTAGCATTCAGATTTTCATGGTTTATTCTAGACAACAGGGCACTTTTTCAGACTCAGTAACAAATAGCTATACCGTGAAAGAAGAAAGTCCATGGACCAACGTTCAACAGTGATCACTCGAAGCATCTTTGCCAAAATGTGCAGGCCATTCGCAGTACTTTCGGAAATCTCCAACTTTCCACTGTACAAGTAGGTCAGCAAAGTTTCTGCGACACTAAACTAAGTAAGTGGTCTGGTGTAACTCTGCCTACATTTTAGGAACCGTCTTCCACTGAAAAATGGGGCTTTGGTCCTCTTTGTGCTGAGAAAGTAGACGTCTGATGTGAGGCACACGTGCCGCCAGAATAATCGCATGAGCAGTTATCTTCTCATTATCTAACAGCTATAAAGGCATGGGGAGGATGCGTGAGTGTGAGAAAATTTGTTCAAGGTAAACCCACTTCTATCTCCACGCCGGGGATTTCGTCTTTTTTTAAAATATCCTCCAAGTCAGGACAGCTTCTGGCCAGGGGGAATTCATCCTCGAAAGTCACCACATCGAGGGCCGTCATGTTGGCAGGCATTGACTCTGCATTGATTCGGCTCACGGCTGGCTACCTAATTTATGTGCCAAACTGGTTTCACGTGCTTCGCAGCCTTCTCTCGGGCAGCTCTCATTGGCTCCTGTGAGAGGCTTGACAGTACAACATGCCGGAGCCCACGTTACTAAGGCATGTATCAAGCACTGCTCTGTCACTGGTGGTTTCACTCTCGGTACAGGCTCCAACTAGATGCCTCGAGGTCGCAGTTATTCGCCGAATTTCCCAACGAATATACCGGATTCCTTCCAGGGCATAACAGCGCACGATACTCCCTTATAGTGTGCGTTATATTAGGCAGTTCTTTTGACAGCCAGCTACACTGCGCTGTTATGGGTTCGACGTACAATGCGTGACCGATCTCATAAAATGTTGGCCAAAATTCTGGCATGTGTTTCCGATTGGGAAAGAAAAGCACATTGTCTTCGTATTTAGTGCCCGAAGAAAGTGCATATTAAGGTTTTAAAAAAGTTTCTAATTATGAGATTTTTAAGGCCGTGCGATGTCCATGCATGCAAGACCGCACATGTCCGTTTACTAATGCTCCTCATGATACGTACAACACAGTCCGGATCCACTGCAAAATTTCATGAACTCTATGTGGTATCTTCTTAAAGACGTAGAGATATATATGATTTTCCTTACTCGGAAAGCGTGCACCTTGTAGACTGAAATTGCTAAACGCAGATGCAACGGCAGATCAGACTGAAAATTATTCGAGAATTGGGAAACTTTTTAAAAACCTAAATACCCACTTTCTTTGGCCATAAAATATGAAGACGATGTGATTTCCTACCAAATGAGCAAAAGAAACCATATTTTTATGTATTTGAATTTAAAAGACCATCGAAAATCAATAGGAAAAACGCATGGTACTTAAGTAGTCATTTTTTATCGAGTGTGGTCTCTGCAGGAGGTCGAAAAGAAATGCATTCAAAAGCCGACATCCTAGCGAGTCTGAAATATTATAGGGTTATGCTGCAAGATAATCAGTATAACAACCCCACTTAAGTAATTCTTCCTAATCGGAAACGCATTCCAGAATTTTGGCCAACATTTCGTGAGATCAGTCACGCACTGTAACAGCGCACGAAACTTTCTAATAACATTCAGTGTGCGTTTTATTATCCAGGCCTTTTGAAAGCCAGCTAAATAAACAAATAGACGGCGCTGTTATGGGTTCGCCGCTTGGGCCTTTCCCAGTCGATCTTTTCATGGGCAAGCTGGAGAACTTCCAAGTTGACGACCAGATCAATAAGCTAAGACACTATGCTGATGACATCTTTGCAATTGCTACCATAGAAACCAACACGGCTGCTCTCTTAGATTCTGCAATTTACGCACATGCGTAGATCGAACTAACGTTGCTGATAGAAGCGAACAGGCGAGTTCCAGGTAGCAGTTCAGAAGATGAAGATGCGATCACCGGAACAAGAAATTTATTTGCCTGACGTTTCGGATCCTTACTCGAATCCATCATCAGAGACATTAGCAGATAAAGGTGATTGTGGTACCAGGAGTGCAGTATTTATAGCCCGTGGCTGCCGTGGGACCGCATGCGCACTGCAATTAACAGTTCTCTTAATCACCGCTGGGGCCGTAATTGATGCGGTGGTGGCTTGTCGGTCCCAGTCCGAGTCGTTAATTGCCGAGTCATGGTTCTCAGGCCCGCAATCCATCAACAAGCACAATGACCTCCCGGTACCCTATAGCGTACTGCGATTTTCCCTGGGCAGGAGAATCAGTCACGTGGGGAGGGCGCGGGCGATCAATCATCACGGTGACAGTGAGCCAGTTTGCCGAGCAATCGTCACACCAGCATCCAGCACGGATGACGAAATCGCGGCAATTAACGACTCGGACTCGGACCGACAAGCCACCACCGCATCAATTACGGCCCCAGCGGTGATTACGAGAACTGTTAATTGCAGTGCGCATGCGGTCCCACGGCAGCCACGGGCTATAAATACTGCACTCCTGGTACCACAATCACCTTTATCTGCTAATGTCTCTGATGATGGATTCGAGTAAGGATCCGAAACGTCAGGCAAATAAATTTCTTGTTCCGGTGATCGCATCTTCATCTTCCAAACTAACGTTGCCGTTGGAAGCGGCAGGCTTCCTCACTCTTTTAGAAGTCCTTCTAAGCAGAAGACCTAACGATAGCGTTAGAAGGAGCGTCTGCCGGAGGAAAGCTTGGTCTGGACAGTAGATGGAGTTCAGCTGTTTGCACACCGGCAACCAAAACGCAGTCTAGTCCGTCGTTTGAGATAAAGGGCTCGACAAACTTGTTCGGCAGACAAGAGAGACAGGAAGGATCCACTAACTAATTTGCGAGAACGGCCATCCTGACGAATTTATGGCAAAGACTACCGCTGAACGAGCAGAAAAAAAACCATCACACGGGAACGGAAAATAAGACTCTTTCTCAAAGTCCCATTTCAAAGGGATACGGCTAGTGAACTCCTGAAAAGACTTGATGACCAGGCTGTTTCACGAACCTTCCCAGCAGCAAGGGTTCGGATATCACCTTCAACTAGCCCAATTTTACAAGGAGAGGTTGCCAGCTCAGACCACCTCAGTGTGCATATACTCTATCACTAAGTCTTCTGGGGCAGGTTATATCGGCTGCACCAGTGAAAGCCTTTCCAAAATAAATCGCGAACTGCTCCTGGCATGGCCAAGGAAAGGGCGAATTTAGGAGCATAAATAGCGCCATTCTTGCATATATTGTTGACTGTGGATATCGCTGTGGTTCTTGGGACGGTTGATTTTACGCTAATTCACACAAATTGATGAAGCTCTTGCGACAGGCTGAAGCTAAGACTTGACTGGTACGCGAACAATAAGATAATCCAACAACGCCTACTTGGGCAAATGTGGTAGTGAGTCTTGTATATTAAACCTACCCCGGCTACAAACCACATCCTTACAATAGTTGGGGCACAACGAACCTTTCCTGTGATGTATGAGGTTCCACCTAACTACCCTAGACCTTCGGGTTAGCCTCTGCTGGCAACACAGAAGGGACTCTCAACAGGTTGCGTAAGCCTGTCTTGTGAGCACATAAGCACCACGCGTAAGCTCCGCGCTTACCGTGGCCAAATCTTTGTTAGGTGCACGAACTACTCCTTGTCCACCCCCTTTCCTTCCCCCCGACCCCAATTTCCTCCTAACGCACTGCCCTTCATTAGCATCTTCCCACACATCCACCCTCCATATGCTTGAAAAGACGAGATTGAATCGACTTCTCTCATCACTCATTACTCCCATACTGGTCTGACCATGATTTATCGCAGGCAAACGTGCGCTTGTTAAATAGTTTTTTGAGTCTGCTTCTACGGGTGCGGCACGCGTTATTTGGCTGCGCTCCCACAATAACTGTCATGAATGAGATGTCATGGCACGCCTAGGCGCGGACTCCCGCCACGCCAGCCACCTGAATCTGACTCTCTCCCCAGTCCGCTTTACTCTGTTCTGGCACCGGGCTCAGGAGGGTGGAGAATATGCCAAATGCGGCGCAAGTCTACCGTCATTACAAACTAAATGAAATGCGTTTCCTATTAGAAAAGAGTACTTTGGTGGTGTTGTAGTATTGATTATTGTCCAGCATAATCCCATGATACTTCTGTCACGTCAGGATGGAGGCTTCTATTCGGCCGCCTGAAAAAGTCACACTCGGCAAAGATGGCTACTTAAGTAGCATGAAGCCCTACCACTGATTGTCGATGTCTTTATAAATTCAAACATATTTTGTAGAAAACGCTCACAAAATATTTTTGTGCCCTTTTGATAGAAGGTTACGTCTTCTTCCATTTCCATACTTAAAGGAAGTGTATCTTCTGATTAAAAAAAGTTTTTCCAATTTCGTAATACTTTTGGGCCCGACAAGCAGTTGCGCTTGTGCGTAGTTTTCCTGAGCCATACGCTGCGTACCTTCGGCGTAAGGAAGATCATACATTTTTCTGCACTATTAGGAAGACGTTACGTAGGGCTCATAAAGTTGTGTAATGGATGTAGATCCCATTGTGTACTTAATAAAGATAATTAATAAAAGTTCGGATAAGATTTCGCATGGAAAGACGTGTCGCGGTCTTAAAAAATCTCATAGTTACAAACTTTTTTAAAACCGAAATGTACACTTTCTTTTAGTGTGACATTTAAAGAGGACGTTGTTACCATCAATCTAAATACAGCAAACAATATTCTGTGAGATGTATTCATATTTGCAAGGGCATCTAAAATCAGTGGTAAGAATTCATCCTACTTAAGTAGCAATTTTGACAAGTGTAGCCGTAGCAAACGACCAGACAGAGGCAAATTCGAAAGCCGGCATCCAAACGTGATTAAAATACCTTGGGAATACTCTCCACGATTGCTCATATTATCGCATTACCTAAGTAATCCTTTCTAATGGAAAACACACTTTGGAACTTTAGTTAACATTTCATGCGATTAGCCAGATACAGTACTTTACTATCCGAGGTCTGTCAATCCGTTGGTCCTTTGTGCGCTGCTATTTCCGCACATAACCACCCTTTCTGACTTTTAGTGAGATTGAGAATGGCTGCCTGACGTTGGTCGGTCCTTTTACTTCCTCGATTATTAGTAAGATTCTTCTGGTATGCAGTAAACGGACATCACAGGGCTGCGTTGCCCTCATTCTTTCTGTGTTTCTGACCGCAAGCATCTGTTTACCACACTAGGACTTATCGCTTAAAGAGTAGAGGTCCGCGACGGCGTACGCATCAAGGACCCGCAGCACTCTGAGCTGTTCCTATTTTGCCAAAGTTTTAGGAAATTAATTAGTCAGGAAGGAAGTACCTCGATTGTTGGGAGGAGTATTTTATTCGCTTGCCGGAATCCTCGCAAGGGATGACAACCGCGTGAGCCTCAAGCTGCTCGAGTCATGGTTCTCGGGCCCGCAATCCATAAACAAGCGCAGTAACCTCCCCTAACCGTATTCCGTGCTGCGATTTTCCCTG